TATTAAGTAGTGCAAAAAAGTGGGGATGTATATAGCATTGTTGATAATGTTTTGATATTGAATTGGAGTTGATTTTTTTAGCCCATACTTGTCCTAACGACACGTTCTTTAAACTCGTAACTACAACCTAAACTTAGGATTAGTATAATCACATAAAAATAAAATCTTAAGTTAGTATCCGAAGAGTTCTTTTATCTGAGTTATCTTGATTTTTGTCAGAAAAGTCAAAAGTTGAATTTTTAACATTTATAGATGCTTAGATTAACCCATATGGGGGAGTATATTTTGACACAAAGAGAAGGTGGAAGAATAAAAAAAATTAAAATTAGAAATGAAACTAAAAAAAAAATAGAGCAAATGACCAAAGGTGCAAAATAAAAAGACCAGGTGAATAGCAACTGCAGGCAACATAAATGGGCAGTCCTGTCTTACTTTTAGGCAGGACTTAATGTTTATTTCATTTGGAATCAGACTTGGAAAGTAACCATGACATGCAATAACTATTGGCTAGTTATATATGTATATAAACACACGCGTACTAAATTAACTCGTATCTAAAATTATATTATAATGTGAATGATTTTGAGAGAGATATTAGTGATAGTTTGATGAGTTTATTTGAGACCGTCGGATGAACTTATTAAAATATATTATATTTTATATTATAGATATATATATACATATAAACTAAAAATTGTTCGTGCTTTTAGGCATAATTTAATACAAAAAATTATAATAATTAAAAATATAATTTTTAGTAGAAATTAAAATTAAAATTCAACAAATCTTCCTTAGAATCCTGCAATAAAAAAGGAGTAATATTATTATGATATAATTTATTGATTTAATAATATATTGACCTAATTCACTATAACTGTTGGATTGATCGTGTGTCCCATCAAACATTGAAATTTAGTATTAATCTAATAGTTATAATGAAACCACATCATTAAGTTAGTAAATTAAGTCAGTAAATTAAGTCAAATTTTTAGGTTTAAGAACGTCTCTAATAGAACTCTTTATTTTTCTAACTCCTCCAATAAGACTCTATTTTATTATAAATAACTTTTATGGTGAATAATATTTTAATATAAAATACACATGTATCATTTTTTCATACCGCTTGTGTACACCTCAATTAATTCTCTCATCGGTTTGGTTAAAGGCAAGTTATCCACGCATAAATTTATAATATTTATAAGAAATAAATTCATCATAATCTAATCTCAAGGAATTGTCGAGATTTAAATTTAAGACGTTTAAATTTACAGTTCATCCATGTTACCACTTAAATTACCATCGGAGTTTATGAAATCTAATTTTGACTAGTTTTGGATAGATACTTACTTTTTTATCTTCAAATTATATTTAAAAATTGAGCAGTGATGTTTGAGTTATTTGATGAAATTAGACATATATTGCACTACAATTGTTGTATTACTTGATGAATTGAGGTTAAAATTATTCGTGTCATGAAACTCAAATGAAAATTTAGTTTACTCAATCATTATGCGATTATAAATAAAAATAAAATAATTATTTGATGAGTTGATTAGAATTTTTACACACATAATGGGACAAGTTTAAATTTATTTTACCAATTTTATTAGAAATAAATAATAAATATTCTAATGTAATTTGTAAAAATGTACCTCGATAGGTTATTCACAACTAAAAATCTTCACATTGACCACAACTTATTGAATAATCTTCCGTCATAAAATTTATGGCTAAAAGAGGATTTTATTTTCTTTTTTTTCTTTTTTTTTTCGATCATACCAAACGTAAAAAATGCAAGTCCTATTTTTCACCCTTCCTACAAAAACACAAATGAAGAGCGAAAACATATTTCGTCTGAGAATAAAAAATGTATTTCTTTCACTTTCTTTTCTTCTAATTTTTCATTAATTATAATGAAACAGGCAATAAAATTGAAACATAAAAGCCAGGTGGCCATATATAATATAGCCCAATATTTCGGGTTCTCGAGATTAAATTTTATAATAAACATATTTTCTAATAAAATAATATTCAACAGTAATATTGTCGTATAAAGTTGTGGTGCCGACACCTGTCTGCACGTGGTGGTGAAGGTTTGTTTGGGGGAGGGGGGGGGGGGGGGGGTGTGGGCTGGCCTTTTATGTGGTCGAGTGGTATGGTTTTTATGTGCTGTTTGTTTGGACCACTCAGGCGTGCTATGCTTTTGTACCTTGAAAATGGTGGTCCCAAAGGATTTTCACCCATTTTCAGTGTTTTTTTTTTTTTAAATTTTTCAAAAAAAGAAAAAGAAAATAATAAATAAAATGTTGTGTACCGATGAACCGGATAACTCAAGTGGTAACATAGACAAATCATAATTCAAACGTTTAGAGTTCAAATATTAACAAATTTTTCATTTGGCAATATTTTCACTATTAAATAAATGGGTCCCATTAATATTCAACCATAAAAATTGTATCACATCACTTATGATGAAAAACTTATAAGAAACTTTATGGGGGTGTTTGGCAAATATGTGAGGGATAGGATTGGATTGGTTTTTTAATCCAAACCAATCCAATGAAAACCCAAGTCGGGGGATATAGACAGGATAATAATAAAATTGTGTAATTTAATCCTTACTTTGGAAAGTATTTTTGTATATTATAGGGCCAACGAAAAAATTATTGTTTTTTGTGTAAATTCTCTTACCTTTCACTTAAATTACAATTTTACCCTTCACTCCTATCTAATCTAAAGTCAATGAGACAATATTATTTATTTTGTCCGCCTTCAAACTTGATTCCAATTTTCATCTATATTACCACATTTCATAGGATGTGAGGTTTTTAAATCATTGGTGCCAAAACCAAAAGAATACCAAACAGTAGATTTAGTATTAATTCCAATTTATTTACTCTTTTCAGCACCCAGAGTCAAAATTCATAACAAAAATGTGGACAACATATCAAAATTAGTTTAAAATCCAAGTCATATCTCAAAAATTATCCATATACCAAATCTCAACATCAATCTATACAATATTCCAATCGCCCCACAAAACCAGAGCTCAATTTAGATACATTTAAACTGTAAAAAAAAATAAGTTGAAAAAAAAATCAAAATTAACATACTTCAAAGCCATTTTTTTGATAGGCGCTCTTGATTTCATGATCCATAGAGTTCCTTGAAACCCCAAGAACGTCGTAGGGGTCTCTCCGCTGCTGCTTCGCCACATCGCTCTTCTTTGATTTTGCCTTATGACCCGACATTTCCACTTATAAACTTTCTCTTTTAACAAATCCCTAGAAATGGCTCACAGACCTCAAAACTCCACATGGATCCACAAAGTCTGTCTTTTTCAAATCAACTTCATCGAAAATTTTGAGCCTTCAACGAAAAATAAGTGAATTTTCTGGGAAAATTCAGCTTCAAAGGAAAACTAAGAACTTCAGAAAAATCGTAGCTATGACACCTCCAAGCTAGAGCTTGGATTTTTCAGATTGAGAAAGCTAGAGAGAGAAAATCCAGGAGAAATTAAGTGACATTTTCAAGTGGCATACCTTCGACAATTGGGACCAACGAGTGTCATTTGCTGTGGGAGGGGACTAGGCTGAAGTGGGGAGAAAACGGGGGTCAAAAACCCTAGACAAAATTTACTGTTGGAGGACAATTATGTAATTACACCTACTATCCTATTCATGGGCTTAGCAATCCCAAAGTTCAGGTGAGATTGCTGGATCTGGGTCAGAGAGCATAAATGACTGAATTCCTACGGGCTAAGTAAATGAAGCCCAACGATTATCCCATCAAGAAATGTAGATCCAAACCTGGAATTTATGGGGGCCCAAACTTTTTTAATCCAATCCAAGTCCATTATCCCACTTTATCCACCCAAACAAACACCCCCTATAAGGATTACATTATTCATAGAAATTCTTTGTTTTATCCTTCTTGCTTTTTGAGTTGCACAAAATGATCTAAAGTTTTTATAATTATCCCTGAATTTTCTTTTGCTTAAGCCCCAAGCAAACCTTATTCTTTGTCCATGTGGATGCAGGATAAATAGGGCTTGGTGGGAATAGAGGAAAACTCATGTGGAGGAATTAATAGAATCTTGGTTAGAGACGGGTTGGTATTTTCATAGGACCCACGAAGAAAGGAATCACCTCGGCTCTTCTCCTCCACACCATACACCCATAAATGAATTCGAGTATTTGCCGACAGTGCACTTACTGGAAATATATGTGTGTATTGACTACCAAGAGTAAAGCAATTGATTTTGATCGCGCACTGACTTATTTTTTTTCCATGTACTATAGTCTCTTTGGAGCCGACCTAGAGTCAAATCTCACCAGCAATACCCCCATGCTTCCACAGTCTGCTTACCGAGGAATAGAAAGGATGGACTCCAGGCCAGATCAAGTTGGGCCGGCTAGTGAGTGATTAGTGAACAATATCGCCCTATTTGACAACATTCCTCTCTGCAGGTGACACTCGCGGAATCATGAAACACTCCATACAAATCAAACAAGTCAGTGCAGTCTTGGGATCCCCCGTCCACATGGACAACACAAGACTGTTACGATGGGAGAGTTTAGAGGCCTTACAGTAACCCGGACTTCTTTTTCTTTCTATCATCTCTTGTCAAAATAAAGTGTTCTGCTCTACGTTTGAAGAGCCAAGTGGTAGCATTACTGCAGTAACAGCAACAGTGTCAACGCCTGAAAACAATTAACCTCGCAAGGAAAATGACATACTATCAACATAATCAATTTTTCTGTATGCTATCAATAATTTGCAGGCAAGAAAATATCCAAATTTAAAAAAAAAATACCCTACAAAAATGCCAAGATAAATAATCGGAACTGTTTCATGAGATTTTTTACAGGGTCAAAAACCACACTTTGAATCCTCCAGCATACTCCCCCCATTGAGGGTAGTGCTTAATTCATCAAGGCAAAACTGCATCAAACACGACTCGATTACCACCATACAACACACCACACCTTTTTCCCATCCTATGACCTGCTAGGGAAATCCAAACGCAACAATTGGGGCGAGAAAAGTGCTATGAGCAATGGATTTTTCCTTAAACACGTATTAAAATTGTTCTTGCTGATGCTCCCATGGCTATCAGTGTCAAACAAAAGGAAGAGTTCATGGATCTGCAAAAGCCAAGTTTGACAAACCTCAAGAATGTGGACCAAGTCGGAAATTTTCCACATCTAATACATGGATTATGTAAAATTAATGGTAATCGACTACTCACCTCATCTTCATTCAAGTTTGGAATTGCCAATAAAATGGAGCCTCCAAACTGTTACGCATGGAATTAGTAACAAAGAAGTTAAAGTTGTCTCAGAACAATGGGAAAATCAAGAAAAAGAAACAGAGAAATGTACTTCTTGCTCTGAAATGTCATGGTTTCCATCAGAGCCGCATCCAGTAAATGCTAATTCACATGCTTGTAGGAATAATGGCTGCTTCAGTACATGAGCTGATCCAAATAAGAACTGCAAGTAATATCATCAACTAGACAATCATCTATCATATCGAATCTGAGAACAAAAGTTGAATTAGCACCCAATAAAAGTCTACAACCCGTTAACACGTCACATGTTAACTATGCCCGTTACAGAAAACCACCATGCTACTCCAAAGTGGATAAATTGTTACTCTTTTTCCTTCTTGTTTTTTAGTTATACAAAAAACTTTCTTCATTAACTGGTCTACTTCTAACCATAACTTTCAATTAAACACAAAAGTTGACTGACAATTCTAGAATTTCAATATTTTCCTCAGTCAATGAATATGACAAATGCAAGTCAAATGCTTGACTAAGTCGAGCATGAAAGTTCCAGGTAAAATAGGCATGTACAAATGTAGCAAATTAGACAATTCTGGTTTCGTTTTATCTCAGAGTCTGATAATTCAAGTGAGTTACTGAAAAAGATAGAGCACTTTTCAGCTTTACACCACATATCCTACCAATCATTGAACCCTTGACTTAGGTGGAGGTTCAAGTCATACAGCAACAACCCAAAATAGATTCAACTACATCCAAATCCAGACACCCACTTAAGCCAATAGATGATCTCTGCCATTAATGAAATTGCTTAATTCAGTATAATACCAATGAAGAGCTGAAGAATGATCCAAGTTTCAAATGAGTGCACATGAGCAGGTGGATATCTAGTGTACATGTATACATTACGCATGCATCAGATGCACAAGCTCATATATATGGATATGAGGACATAAACACAAGTATGTGCATACAAGAGTGCTGGGAGGGATGGACCAAGTACAAACCTAATCTTTTGCATTATTTGCACAAAGTGCCTGCCCTCAAATTTGAACCACAATTCAAAGTTGTTAGCCTATTCCACGAAATGTATGTGTTTATTACATATGGGGAGAATGAGAGAGAGAGAGAGACCTCTTTAAATGTTATCCTGCCTCTCTTCTGCACATCAACGAATCCAAATATCTGCAATGCAGAATAATTTCCATAAAATGGGAGATAGACGTAAAAAATGCCCAAATTTATTAGTTTACCAATACAGAACCACCAACTAAATTAGGTATCGACAATTCTTTCAAGCAAAATGCATAAGAATCAAATCATCCTATTCACATGAGATTGCTGACCAAGCAATCAAAATGAATCTCAAAATGCACACATTATTTTCATTATTATTTTAGTTTTTCCATCTATTTTCCAAGGCAAACGCTTCATTCCGGCCATTCCAGATGCCAAGCATAGTTTTATCATAATTTTGTATCTTGATATGACAAACATGAAGCATCTGTCTGTAAATCACAGTATTATCATTTATGTTTATTTATCTAAAAGCAGGTATCAGGCCAAAAAAAAAAAAATCAAAAAAGGGCAAACCAAATTAGTTTGGCTGTTCAAATAGTTGAAAAACAACTAAACTATGATGGTAGTACAAATAACCATCCAGCCATGGTAAGAACTGAATACAAAAATACAGTTAACAAGTAACAACAAAATTGAGAAGTTACATAAAAGCATAATCTAACTGGTAACTGACCTTTTCTGAAAGGGTACAAGCCTTCAATCTAAAAAACCTCAAGAAATTATGGATTTCAACATGTCCGCTGCAAACATGATGAGTATAGTCAATAACAGTTCTGGCATTTGCACAAACTTGAAACTAATCTAACAAAAACTCGGATGAACGTTGTCACATAATAGCGTGGTGTCAATAAGAATTTGAGATACATATAATACATCTTCAGTTCTCTGGAAGATTACAGTAGCAGTCACAAGAACAAGTATGACCAACTTCTGAAACCCATTCTGTCAACACATTATGTACGTGCCATTTTTCTCAAATAAAGCATCAAGCTTGATGCTCACCCTCTCAAACTTTGACAAATACAAATGACATTCAACATACTAGCCTCCCCGCAGCTGCGGGGCATTGGGGGAGACAGACAGAATCTGAAAAAAAAAAAAAAAAGAATAGAAGTGCTCTCAGATTGCAAAAATGTGGACCTTTTAAAAACAAATTGACCAGAACCTATAAAATAACAAAACATATATGCATATAGTGACAATTTTCCACATACATCAATAGTGATATAGCTGTAGCCACCAAAATACGTCTCCCATAACATTTTAGTGGACACAGTATTCTTTGGCGGAGATAGAAACTTTTTTATTAAGTTCAAAATATAATTACTGTTAAGCAAAAGAAGGCCAGACAAACACAAAGAAAGAAGAAATGAAGACACCAAGAAAGAAGAGATGTTAGCATGTACTACTCCTTAATGATTCAGGCACCATATTTGTGAACCTCTACCATGGAATGAAGAGTGCTTAATAGAATTCAACCCCTTGCAATGAAATACATTATAGTGGGATGCAATTCAACAGATGCATAAAGGTAAAAAGTTTAAAATAACAGAGGTAAACATACACAAATGCAGATAACCAATTTTGATAAGAAACCAACCATATGTTTTTCACTGACAATCAA